CCAAAGCCACAGAGAAACCCTGTCTCAAAAAACCAAAAAAAAAAAAAAAGAAAAAAAAAAAGAAAAGAAAAAAAAATGCACATGGGATTAAACCCTCCCAGTTCCAGGAGTAGCTTTTTCAGTATTGTACAGTGGCAATCTTCATCATCATCATCGTCATCGTTGTGAACCATAGCTTTAATCCCATCTCTTGAGAGACAGAGGCAAGTGGATCTCTATGAGTTCAAGGCAAGCATGGTCTATATAGTGAGCTCCAGACCAGCCAGGGCTACATAGTGAACCCCTGTCTCAAATAAATGGATGGATGGAGGAATGGATGGATGGATGGAAACATTATGCTCTCACTTAATGCTGTACCAGTACAAGTGGATTTTGCTCCATTCCATGTCAACAAAACTCACCTTGATAAACCATCTTAGCCCCGAGTGTGGTGTAGGTTTATGTGAGTGCCTAGGCCACTTATGAAAATTCAGTGAGTATACCCAGGGAAGCCCAGAATTGAGTTAGGAGCATTATCCAGTAAAGTCTTTGTCACGGTGAACATGAAGGAAAATAAGTGCTTTGCAGAGTGAGGTATACGGTGCTTTTAAATCCCCTGGTTTTGTAACATGGCTTGTCATTTTATAAGCCACATCACATGCCTTAATAAGCAGGATCATTCCAGCCAGTGTGTAAAGTAGATACGGTGTGTATTCTTAACTCTTCCCCAGATGCAGCACCAGTAATACCTCCTTTCTGGCCACTGTCTCTGCTCCGTGTATTTCTCTGGCCTCTGCTACCTGAAGCTGGTGTCATATCCTATCTCTGTCTGGAGGTTCTCGCTTGATCTTCGGAGCCTCGGTTCCTTCTTTGGAATCTGGAAGATACATAAGCCATTTTGACATTCCAGAGTGAAAATCTTGTTGTGTTACATTTAGCAGTTGTCCTTTCTCGTTTGCTTGTCCCACATGTCCTCCTGACATTCCACAGAGAAAACAGAAGACGACATGGAGCGGGAAGCCAGGCTGGTGGAGCAGTGGGTGGGGCTGACCGAGGAAAGGAACGCCGTGCTGGTGCCTGCCCCTGGCAGTGGGATCCCCGGGGCTCCTGCTGATTGGTAAGGCCACCCTTAATGCAGGTCAGGCAAGCTGATGAACATTGCTGGTAACAAGAGCTGTGCAGATAGCGTTCTGGGATCAGCTAGCTACAGCTGAGGGAAGGGCCACCCATCTCCAGTATCCCATCCTCTATAACTTCCCCACCACAGTTTCTTCCAAAGGTAACCTGACTGGGAGAAAATGCTACCTTCCCCTCGTCCTCTGAAGGAGCAACTTGAGTCCTGTTTCCTCCCTCTAGACTGAGAAGGAGGTTTCAAATTACACTGGTCTACAAACACACAAAATAGATCTTATTTGCCCTGGCATGTGCTTATCGTGGCCAGTATTAATGGTATAAAGCAGTGGTTCCCAACCTTCCTACAGCTATGGCCCTTTAATACAGCTCTTCATGTTGTGACCCCCAACGATAAAACAACTTTCACTGCTGCTTCATAACTGTAATTTTGCTACGTTTATGACTCGTAAGCATCTGATCCTCTTGTTTCCATCTCCCAAGTTCTGGGGTCATAGGTATGTTCCAGCACACCCATTTTACTACAGCACTGGGGATTGAACCCAGGCCTTTGTGCACGCTAGGCAAGTACTCTGCCAGCTTAGCCACTGTCTCTAATTTGTATTCCCTGAACTCCTTTTTACCTTTATTCCTGGTATGTAAGTGGAACTGTGATTTTAGTACTGCTGTAAGACTTAGAGGTAATATATAAAGACGCTTGTTCATTTGGGTATGTTTTTGGTTTGGTTTGGTTTGGTTTTTTTGAGACAGGGTTTCTCTGTGCAGCCCTGGCTGTCCTGGGACTTCTGTAGATAAGGCTGGCCTCGAAATCATAGAAATTTGCCTTCCTCTGCCTCCTGAGGGCTGAGCTTCCAGCCTGCTGCTTCTCCTGCAGCTTCTGCCTTTGTGTTGGAATCCTCTGTGTAGTGTGCAGTCTCTCGGCAGGCTGCTCCCCATGAGGAGGCAGCTCATCCGGACCTTATTGGTCCTTAAAGCCCTTCCTTGTAAGCCGTCCTTACCCCAGGGCCTCCTGCATGATGGCTTCCACCCTCACACCATCTTTTTTCTTTTCTTTTCTTTTCTTTTCTTTTCTTTTTTTTTTTTTTTTTGGTTTTTCGAGACAGGGTTTCTCTGTGTAGCTTTGGAACCTATCTTGACACTCGCTCTGGAAACCAGGCTGGCCTCAAACTCACAGAGATCCGCCTGCCTCTGCCTCCCGAGTGCTGGGATTAAAGGCGTACGCCACCACTGCGTGGTGCCTCACATCATCTTGAGTGTTCATAAAATGCCAATAAAATGCCACCCTGGGTCCCATCCTAGATCGGATTCAGAAGAGGAAGCACGTGCCCAGGGCTCTTAACGAGCCCCCTGAGGTGATTCTAATGAAGCCGGGCCAGTTTGAGCAATACGCTTGGTAGCCTCTGCTGTACACACCACCTCCTCTCACGGGCTGCACTCACTCCCGTGGAGTTCTCTGTGTTACTGCCCCTTTTGTTATTTCCTCTAGGGTCTGAGCCACCCCCGCCATCTAACAGCAGTACCCTTGCCCCTATGGCTCGAGTTGTTTCTTTTCTTTAAAAACACTTCATTTCTCTCTTATTCCTAGGTGTATGTATGTTTTGCCAATGTTTTTCATATGCACCATATGTGTTCCTGGTGCCCAAAGAGGCCAGGAGAGGGCACTGGATCCCCCTGGAACTAGAGTTATAGAGAGTTGTAAGTCAAGTGGGGTGCTGGAAACTGAACCTGTGTCTTCTGAAAGAGGAGAAAGTGCTCCTAACTGTTGAGCCATCTCTTCAGCCCCTGGAACTGTTTTTTTGTTGTTGTTTTTGTTTGTTTGTTTGTTTGTTTTTTGTTTTTTTAAACTTCAAATAAACTGTTTTAATTACTCACCTCTAATGCATATGACTGGTAGTTCTTTTATATAATAATTATTATTATATCATAATAATACAGTAATTTCCATGACTTACGTCAACATGGGAGTCAAGATATTATATGTTTTTATAGCAAAGTTTGCTCTAAGAAATTAAACAATTAAAAATAGGGGCTGGAAATACAGCTTGTTGCTGTCAAGCCTGACAATCTGAGTTTAATCCCAGGGACTCCTGCGAGTTGTCCTCTACCATGGCACGTGTGCCCCCTCACATCCAGAGACATGTACACGCTAAGATAAACATAATAAAGAAATGTTATGGTGTGACGTGTGTAGGTTCCACAACCCCACAGTGGGTCCCTTCTGTTTCCATGGCTCTGCAGTGAGTGCTTTATTAATTAAAAAATATAAAGCACACATGTTCTTACAATTAAATTCTGTCATTGCATTTAGGGTCCCACCTCCTGGAATGGAAACACACATACCAGTTCTGTTCCTGGATCTGAATGGTAAGCAGGCACTGAACCCATCCCAGGATTATCAAGGTCAACTAAGATCATGTGTTCTTTTGGTGCATAGATCACTTGGTAATTGCTGATATGGCACACTAGGTGACAGTTGGGCTCTGGACACATGCATAAGCATGGCCTGTGGTCACTGGAGGAGAGCTGTGGGTGTCTAATCTCACACAAAGTACCCAGGACATTGCAAACAAGAACACATGTGCTCTGAGATACTAGTGATTGGTGGCCCCTGGAGACTGTGTGTTAGGCTTGACGAGGGCCGAGGAGCTACATGTCTGACGGTACCCTCTGCCCCTCAACCCTCAAGGTAGGGAGAGGAAGGGTGATGGACTTCAGGTGGCATGACAGCAGGGGGGAGAGGGAAACCAACAAGAGGGGCAGGGACACGGGAGAAAATGAATGCTATCAGAAAACCTATTGCTTTTTCGGCTTTTATTTGGTTTTTCGAAACATGGTTTCTCTGTGTAGCTTTGGACCAGGCTGGCCTTGAGCTCACAGAGATCCTCCTGCCTCTGCCTCCCCAGTGCTGGGATTAAAGACTTTTCCTTTTAATTAATTAAAAAAAAATATGCCAGGCGTTGGTGGCACACGCCTTTAATCCCAGCACTCCGGAGGCAGAAGCAGGCGTATCTCTGTGAGTTTGAGGCCAGCCTGTTCTCCAGAGCAAGTGCCAGGATAGGCTCCAAAGCTACACAGAGAAACCCTGTCTCGAGAAACCGAAAATAAATAAATAAATAAATAAATAAATAAAATTTTAAAGAGTGAAAAATAAGCCAGACGGAAGTGGCCCACGCCTTTAATTCCAGCACTCAGGAGGCAGAGGCAGGTGCAACTTTGTCAGTTCATGGCCAGCCTGGTCTACAGATTGAGTTCCAGGCTACACAGAGAAACCCTGTCTTGAAACAAACAAAAAGTATAAAATGGAAAAATTACTTCTAAAGGCATGTTTTAAAATGTTGGTGTTTGCTTAAAAGCTGACTTTCTTTGCTCTGTTTTCATCTTGTGCCTTGAAATTGATCAGCGGATGACCTTAGTGCCAACGAGCAGCTAGTGGGCCCCCATGCATCTGGTGTGAATTCCATCCTGCCCAAGGAGCACGGCAGTCAGTTCTTCTATCTGCCCATCATAAAGCATAGTGATGACGAGGTAATTTACCCCCAGGGCTCGGGTGGGGTCTTCACACAAGCCCTCTTAACCTTATAAACACTGATAGGGACACTGAGGGCTTTGAACAAAATGCCATCTGTGTCATTCGAAATAGATGAAGGGAGAAATCTATTTGGTAACAGAAAGTAGAATTGATTTTCTTACTCCGGAAGGTCTTATAAACGGCTCCACCTGTCGTGGCTGTGGCTTACTCCTGTCCCCCAACATTCTGCTCCTCCCAGGTTTCAGCGACAGCCTCCTGGGACTCCTCGGTACATGACTCTGTTCACCTGAATCGGGTCACACCACAGAACGAAAGGATATACCTGATCGTGAAGACCACAGTTCAACTCAGCCACCCGGCGGCCATGGAGTTAGTGTTACGGAAGCGGATTGCAGCCAATATTTATAACAAACAGGTAGTGACAGACAGGACTGACTTGCTGTCACATGTACAAGGGCAAAATGATCTTCCTCTGTGTCACATCATGTTTTGTAACACCGGTAGACGGGCTTGGCGGAACCCGTAACTCTGGTGGTCAGGTGAAGACTGCAGAAGGAAATGTCAGCCTCAAACCATTGACTTTACTCTATTCTCTGGTTAGGATATCCATAATCTTTGGGGCTGGAGACATGGCTCAGTGGTTAGGAGCACTTGCTGCCCATCTAGAGAATTTGAGTTCCAGGGGATCTGACATACCCTTTTCTGTCCTACTGGGGCACCCCCACACACGTGCAAGTACCCACACACAGACATACACCTCTTTTTTTTGGGGGTGGGGGGGGGGGGGCGGGGGGGGGGGGGGGGCTGGCTGCCCCCCCCCGCGCCGGGGGGGGGGGGGGGCAGAGGCAGGCAGATCTCTGAGTTCGAGGCCAGTCAGATCTTTAAAGTGAGTTCCAGGACAGTCTCCAAATCTGCAGAGAAACCCTATCTCAAAAAAACAAATAAAATTTAATAAATAAATAAATAAATAAATAAACCTAAACTGGGTGGTGTTAGTACATGCCTTTAGTCCCAGCACTTGGGAGATAGAGGCGGGCAGATTTCTATGAGTTCAAGACCAGCCTGGTCTACAAGAGCTAGTTCCAGGATGGGCTCCAAAAAGCTTGAAAAAACAAACAAAACAAAATAATAACTTAGAAAAAAAAAACAAAACAAAAAACTATTGCCAGGTGGTGGTGGTGAAAGCCTTCAATCCCAGCACTTGGGAAGCAGAGGCAAGTGGATCTCTCTGAGTTTGAGTGCAGCCTGGTCTACAGAGCAAGTTCTAGGACAGGCTCCAAAGCTACAAAGAAGCTGAGTCTCGGAAAACAAAAACAAATAAATATAAAAAAGAGCCTATAATACTTGCAGGCAGCAGATATAAGTGTCTTAGCAACAGCAGAGACAAAAGGCTCAGGCATGTTAGTGACAACACTAGGACAGTGCAAATTCCTGCTGCTTTGTCAAACCCCTTATCAACAGAACTGACCCCCTGGGTTCTTCCAAATTGTTGTAGGAAAGCTGGCTAAACCCAGGAGAGATGAAGGGCAGTTAGCACAAGGGAAGCTGGCAAAAACACAGAACTCCAGGAATGCCACACCTCTGCCAATCACAGTTGTACTTTTGCTCTTTGGGGGTCTCACCACCTAGCTTTGGTTGGAACTTCCTGTATAGACCAGGCTCACAGAGCTGTAAAGCCTTGAGCTCACAGAGATGTTCCCTTCTCTGCCTCCTAAACATTGGGATTAAAGATGGGTGTCCCTACACCAGCTGGAGACAAGAAGTTTTAAAGGTTTATTACATTTGTTGGTTTGGTTTGGTTTGGGGGTTTTTGGGGTTTTGGGTTTTTTGTTTTTGTTTTGACAAGGTTTCTCTGTGCAGTTTTGGAGCCTGTCCTGGAACTCACTCTGTAGACCAGGCTGGCCTTTAACTCACAGAGATCCTCCTGCCTCTGCCTCTGCCTCTGCCTCTGCCTCCCAAATACTGGAATTAAAGACGTGCACCACCAACGCCTGGCTGTTTTAATACATCTGTATATTTACTTAGTGTGTATGGACTTGCATGCTACAAAGCATGTGTGGAAGTCAGGGGACAACTTTCAGGAGTCAGTACACTTTTTCCACGATGTAGGTCCTGGATGTCAAACTCAGGTCCTCAGGCATGGAGACAAATGCCTTTACTCACAGAGCCAACTTGCCAACCAGAAAGAAGATTTTGAGGTTTAATTTCTCAGTTTGATTTTGTTGTTTTCTGTGCATTTACTTATTCATTCAATCGTTTGTTTGCTTTAGTTGGTTACTTGAAACAAGGTCTCATTTCTCTCTTGATTTTGTTGTTTCCTGCTTATTTACTTATTTATTTCAGTTGGTTACTGTGACAAGCTCTCATTCAGTAGTCCAGACTGGCCTCAAGTCCATTATATTCTCAGTGTTGCCCAAACTAGCTTTGAAATTGATAAGGAATCCTCCTGCCTCAGCCTCCCAAGTATGAGGATTTTAGATGTGAGCCGTCATTGTTATGATGACGGTGAGAGACAAACACACCATCAGGAAGAAGTTACATGGGAAGGACGTTTTATTGGGGGAAGGAAGGGAGTGGGGAAAGTGGGAGAGAGAGAAAAGAGAGATAGACAGAGATAGAGACAGAGATAGAGACAGAGAGGCCTCCTGGGAGAAAGGCGGAAAGAGAGAGCAGGGGAGTAGGCGGAGCCCAGCTCTTTAAGGGACCACCTGCCCCTGTGTAGAGCCAGGGCACTGCTCGCCATGTGCAGAGGGGTGACACACTGTGCCAGGTTCCCAAGGGGTGGAACTAAGTTTGCCTGGATGAAAACAACCATGCCCACCTCCTTTAAGTATAGGGGGCTTGTTTTATTTTCTTTCTGTTTTGTTGAATTTATCTATACTCCTTGGATCATTTGCTATAATACTTTTCCAGTTTGCAGAATATGAAATAGATTTGTCTTAGATTTGCCACACCGTTTAAACCAGCTTTCCTTTCCTTTCCTACCAGAGTTTCACCCAGAGTCTGAAGAGAAGAATATCGCTGATAAATATATTTTACTCTTGTGGCGTGACCTATGAGATAGTATCCAATATCCCAAAGGTAACAGGCGCTGCTGTTTCCCCATGTTAGCGTGTAAGAGTGCAAGGGGAGTGTTGGCTCACTGTGCCCTGAAAGCACACCACAGCACTTACGAAAACGCCATTCACAGGAAAACAGTCGTCTCCTTTTTGTGCCTTTAGGCGACTGAGGAGATCGAGGACCGGGAAACACTGGCTCTCCTGGCAGCACGGAGTGAGAATGAGGGCACTTTGGATGGGGAGACGTATATTGAGAAGTACACCCGCGGTGTACTGCAGGTCGAGAACATTCTGAGTCTGGAGAGGCTCCGGCAGGTGAGTAGCTGACTGTGTGGTCCTGAGGGTGCAGCACCAGCGTTCCCAAGCAGTGGACAGAGATGGAGCACACGCCTCTCAAAATCTGTCAGAGAAGGAGTGCGTAGGTAGCCATTTCCCTACCCTTGTCAGAAAGGACTCTGACAAGAGTTGTGAGTGTCTGTGTGTGTGTTTGTGATGTGCATGTGAAAGACCCCCAAGCCCCTAAGGGGCACAGGGTCCCGAGGAGCCCCCGAGACTCAGAAACCAGACCAAGAGCTGCAAAAGCAAGAGGGTTTATTGAACGAATATGCATTGGGGTGTCAGCAATATCGGGAAAGCTGCACACCCCAGCATGGGGTGCAAGCTCCTTATATAGGAAAAAACAGCAGGTCAGCATACAGACAAGGGGCACAAAGTGATTGATTACAAAGTATGATTTCATGTTAGAGTGGTCACCCAGGTGTGACCTGCTTTTCTACAAAGGAAAAACCACAGAACGTACCCTGAAAAGTCCTTGATTGTCTGTTGGCCAGCCAGGTGTGACCCAAAGAGGGTTGGCGATTGCCCCCGTCTAAAACCATAGGATGTGCCCAGGGTTGGGGCCAACTTTCTTGTAATGGGCCAAGGCCTGTGGGAAACTTTTTCTTTCTGTGAACTAAAATCTTTCAAAACTTTTTCTCTCAGCAAACTAAAGTCTTTCACATGTGTGTTTACATGGTGCGTGTGGTGTATGTGGTACGTAAGATGTTTGTGTGGTGTGTGTTTATGGTATGTGTGTGGTGTGATATGGGTGTGGTGTGTGTGTATTCGTGTGGTATGTGTGTATGGTGTGGTGTGTATGTGTGATGTGTGTGTGTACCATGGAGGTGTGTGCTGTGGATGATGTATATGTGGGTGGGTAGGTGTGTCTTTGCATTCGAACATATGTATGTATGCATACACTTGTTCATTTTGATATAGGAACTTGCTCTGGAACCTGCCTGGCTTAGAACTCAATATATACACTAGCCTGTAGTTGGACTTTCCTTTGGATTGCCAGCTCACAAGTTCCCAGTTTCTCTCTCTGCTAGGGAGTCCCACCTGTTCTCTCCTGCCTAGCTCTTGGCCATTCAGCTCTTTATTAAACCAATCACAGTGACACATCTTCGCACAGTGTAAACAATGTTGTGCCACACTAGTTTGGTCTCCAGTTCGTGGCTGTCCTTGCAAGTGCTGGGATTACATGTGTTTACTATCACATTCAGCTCCCAAGCGCTGTGTTCCGATGATATAGGTATATTATGTGGTTTACTTTTCAAGACAACCCTTGGATGAAAGTAATGGTATAATTGTTTTTCGAAAGAGAAAGTCGAGGCAAGGAGAAGCTACACAGCAAGGCATTGGTGTAAAGCCATGTACAGCCCAAGTAGATTGACTCCAAAGTCCTCATGTTGAACCACATTTTGTCATTTTTATCCCCAATATTCAGGCATCTAAGTGCGACATTGGGTTTAAAATAATGAACTCAGACTTGGTAGAGTGCTTGCCTAGCATGCTTGAAAACCTGGCTTTGGTCTCCTCCAGTCCTATGTAAACTGGGCATGGTAGTTAGGTATGTGCACTTATAATCTCACCATTTGCAAGGTGGGGCCAGGAGGCTCAGAAGTTCAGTTATCTTTGGCTACATAGTGAGTTCAAAGACCATCCTAGACTACATGAGTACCTCCATGTCAAAAAAAAATAATAAGAAATAATAAGAAAATATGACACTCAGCAGTGGTGCGATGAGCAGACATGTAATGTGTGTGCATTCCTCCAAAGCAAAAGCTGACTTTACAGACAAGACGTTGAATGACTAGAGAGATGGAATTGGTGTTTGTCAAAACAGTCTCTCTTTTCTGTAAAACATACTAAAATTGTGACACAAGTAAACCTATCAGCATTACCTCTTAGGGGTAAATGGGAAAAGTAAACCACATAATATACCTACATCTTCTGAACACAGCCTTCCTCTTGTTTTTCTGCTTCAATTCATAGCATGTCTGCTGTTCAGCATCTTTCCTGGTTTGTGTTTTAATTTTTTTTTTTTTTTTGAGGCAGGGTTTCTCTGTGTAACAGCTCTAGCTGTCCTGGAACTTACTCTGGCCTTGAACTCACAGAGGTCTGCCTGCCTCTGCCTCCCAATTGCCGGGATTAAAGGCGTGTACCCCCACAACCCAGCATGTGTTTTGAATTTTTAATGTTTTTTTTGTTTGTTTGTTTTGTTTTGTTTTGTTTTTTGGTTTTTCGAGACAGGGTTTCTCTGTGTAGCTTTGGAACCTATCCTGGCACTCACTCTAGAGACCAGGCTGGCCTCGAATTCACAGAGATCCGCCTTCCTCTGCCTCCCAAGTGCTGGGATAAAAGGCGTGTGCCACCAAGGCCCAGCTGAATTTTTAATATTTTTGATAGGTTTTGGTGGTGAGCCTAGCCTTTAACGACTGAGCGATCCCTCCTGCCCAGTTTTTCTTTTTTGTTGTTGTTGTTATTGTTTTAAAAACACATAGTCAGGGTACCAGTCTTATAAATATTGATTTGTGTTTGTGTACAATTGAAGTGGTTTTTACATTTTGGGTTTTCTGAATCTTCTAAAATACACATTTCATTTATAATCTGATGAGGCAATCCTAGCTGTCTTCTTTGTGTTATTGTGTGTTTACAGGCTGTCACGGTCAAGGAGGCACTCTCCACCAAAGCCCGGCACATTCGGAGAAGCCTCAGTACACCAAATGTTCACAATGTGAGTACGCTCGGCAGGGACCTGCTGCCCATGTGACTTACTCCAGGATTTGGGGATGCAGGATCTGGGACAACATAAGCTTGGAGCTTAAATGGTAGGAACAGGGTGCACCGTCCTGGAGTAGGCACCCCAAAGTGCCGAGCCTGACTTTTTATACTGGAGTACATACCAGCTCCCATAGAGATTTGCCTGTACTGATCATCTTTCTCAACCAATTCATGTATAATATCCCCTTGACAAATGACTTCTAACAGTAGGGAACCAAGGGTAGATTAGCGTAAGGACCTCTTCAAAACCATCCCTTCCCAGGAGCAGCAGATGAAGGTGCTACAGTGTTTCTAAGGAAAACCTAGGATTCTGCCTTCCTGATCTCAAGAATTGGCCAGAAATGATTTAAAACTCAACACCTGTCTTAGAATAGCCCACAGAGCAAATGTCTACTCTCAGCCCTGTACAGGTTACTTCTGAACAGTAGTAGATAATAGGGGGCTGGGAGATGCCTTAGTACATAAAGTGCTTGCCATGAGGACCTCTTTGGATCTCTAGCATCCATTAAAAAAAAAAAAAAAAAAAAGCCAGGCATGTGGGGGTGTGCTCTTGTAACCCCTGTAACAGGTACAGAGACAGGTAGATCCCCGGAGTGTGTAGACCAGCCAGGGTAGCCAAAAATGGCAAGCTATAAGTTCAATTAAACCCTGTCTCAAAAATGCAAGGTGGAAAGCAACAGAAAGACACCTGAAATTGAACTCTACCCTTTACATGTGTGAGCATAGGCAGGCATACACACACACACACACACACACACACACACACACACACACCACTTAACACACACACAAAATAGATAATGAGAGACTCAGAAGTTACAAGTTGAAATCATTCTCTTAGGCCAGGGATATAGGTCAGTGATTGTGAGCATATGCAATGCCCCAAATTCGATTCTCAGTACCACAAAAGAAGAGGAAATGCATGAGCGTGTGCACACTCGAGCATGTGTGCTACTACACACAAACACACACACACACACACAACACAGAGAGAGAGAGAGAGAGAGAGAGAGAGTTTTGTCTTTTGGGTGTTTTGTTTTGAAGTAGGGTTCCATTATGTAGCTCTGGGTGGTCTCAAACTCACAGAGATTACCTGCCTTTACCACCTAAGCACCAGGACTAAGGGTATGTACCACCATGCCTGGCTAGTTGAAATGGTTTTAAAGACACTCTCTTAATTAACTTACTTATCAAGGAAAAGCTTTTAATACAAATTAAAACTTGTATAGAACTAATTGATAATAAAACTATGCATAAACCAATACTTGTGGAATGTAAAGTGGTACTTAAATGGAAACCATTAGCACTAAAATACCTACTTCACCTCTTGCCATTGAGAATTCTAGACAGTACCGAAAAATGGAAGAGCAAGAACATTTTTATTAAGAGTATTATTAGGAAACATAGGGGCAAGCCGGACAGTGGTAGCCCATGCCTGTGACTCCAGCACTCTGGAGGCAGAGGCAGATCTCTGTAAATTCTGTAAAATTGAGTTCCAGGCCAGCCAGAGCTGTTACACAGAGAAAGAACATGGGGCTCAGTAACATTCAGGAGGCAGAGGCAGGAAGACTCTGCAGTACCAGGCTGGCAAGAGCCATAATGAAACCCTGTCTCAAAAATGATGATTATTAAAGATATGAATCATATTGGTAAAAGTGTCTGTCTCTTACAGGTCTCCTCTAGCCGGCCAGACCTCTCTGGTTTTGATGAAGATGATAAGGTATGTATGTTAGGGTGAGCTAGCTTATCAACACCATTTAAGTTCTTGAGAACGGGCTGTGCATGTACAGGTGTGTGTATTTGTGTTAACGATTTATGTATGTGTTTGCCTACGCGTATGTCTGTGCACTATTTGTAAGCAGCACCCACAAGAACCAGAAGGCACTGGAGTCCCCTAGAACTGGGGTGACAAGTGGTTGTAAGTCAACTTGTGGTTACAGGGAGCAGAACCCAGGTCCTTTAATGAGTGTTTATAACCACTGAGTAATCTCTCCAGCTTCTGTGCTTATAAGTTTCGTTTACATATTTGAGAAAGGTAATCTTTAGTCTTTGCCGGGCGTTCGTGGTGCACGCCTTTAATCGCAGTACTTGGAAAGCAAGGCAGGTGGATCTCTGAATTATAGGCCAGCCTAAGTCTATAAAGCAAGTTCCAGGACAGCCAGGGCTACATACAGTCTCAAAAAAAACAAAGCAAACAACAACAACAACAAAAAATTACAAGAGTTAGGTATAGTGGTACATGCCTTTCATCCCAGCACCTGGGAGGCAAAAGCATCTGCAGTGTGTATCTCTCTGAGTTCGATGCCAACAAGGACTATATAGCCAGACCCTGTCTCAACAACAAAACAAAACAAAAACAAAAAACAAAACAAAAACAAAAATGAGGAGGGCAAAAAGAGGGGAAGGGGAGGAAAGAAAGAAAAGAAACAGAACTGAAAACCGGCTGCTTTTCCCATTTTTTTTAGAGTGACTTCATCGCAGTTGACCTATATTTTTACTTTGCAGGGCTGGCCTGAGAACCAGTTAGACGTGTCTGACTACAGCCCCAGTTACCAAGATGTTGCATGCTATGGAACTTTACCCAGGGACTTGCCCCGCAGGAGCAAAGAAGGTAGTGGTGGAACTGCTTCCGGTGGTACTCCACTCATGCAGATGTTCAAAAACCGGCTTCTTCTTCACCAGAATACTCACCCCACATCCACTTACGGCCCTTCTCTTGGCTGGGTTTTCTACCTAGCAAAATAATAGTTGTACATGCGTGTACATAGTGCTGGGGATGGAACCAAGAGCCTCACACATGCTCAGCAGGCACTCTCCAGCCTAAGAGAACACTTTGTTATTTAAAATTCTCCAAATCATTTTTCAGTCCTTGTTTTGAGACACACATAATTCTCATTCAGTTTTCTTAAGCAAGAGAGTATTTACCTCTCGTCTTTTTATATCCAAATGTTTAAGGAAGCCTGATTTCCGACACCTAACACAGGTTCAGAAATGATAGCAGAAATGAATTTGGTCAGAGGCAACATTATTATGTAAATACGTAGTCTCCTAGTGCCTTGAGGGGACCAGCAGTCTATGGAAATATAAATCAACTATCTGCTTCTATCTTGTATTTTACCTACCAAAAATCAAGAATCAGTGTAGCAGGAATTGGAAAGAGAACAGAAGGAGATAAAGGCCCAACAAGGTAAAAATCCGCGTACTCCCACAGAGCCAGGGAGCCTGAGGAAAAAGGGACATAAACAAGAAAATGTATATACTGTTCATTCACTGAGTATACTTAGTGTGCTTCTGATTGCCTTTAAAACATAACCATGGGAGCTGGGTATGGTGCCCATACCTGGTCTACAGGACTACACAGAAAAATCCTGTCTGGAAGGTAAAGCAAATACATACATATATATATATATATATATATATATATATATATATATATATAAACATTCAATGATAAATGTATGAATACACATGTATCTTATAAAGACCTTGGGAATTCAGAGATGGAGAGTCAGCTTGAGCTAGAATTGGTCCAATAAATGGTGCTTAAACTGGATTTTGAAAAGAGTTAAGAGGCTGGAGAGATGGCTTGATAGTTAAGAGCACTAGCTCAGTCGGGCAGTGGTGGCGCACGCCTTTTAGTCCCAGCACTTGGGAGGCAGAGGCAGGTGGATCTCTGTGAGTTCTAGACCAGCCTGGTTTACAAGAGCTAGTTCCAAGACAGCCTCCATAGCCACCGAGAAACCCTGTCTCGAACCCCCCCCCCCAAAAAAAAGAGAGCACTGGCTCTATTGCAGAAGATCCAGGTTTGATTCCCAGCACCCACATGGCTGCTTAAAACCATTTGAAATGACAGGCAGTGGTGTTTTTCTGTCCTCTCTGGGCACCAGGCATGCATCAGGCAGACAGATGACAGATCTACATGCTGACAAAATACCCATATGCATAAAATAATTAATTACTTATTAATAACAATGTTTTAAAAAGAAAAGATTTAAATTCTTTTTCTGATTCTTTCTCACTGACCCGCCCTTTAACAATTCTTTGTGACTTTTGAGACTTATCTTTATTCTATTTTCTTGCTATTATATTTATAATATAAATATAATTTATATATAATTTGGGGGGCGTTGTGGGTGTGAGTGTGTCACAGCACATTGTGTCAGGGTCACACAACAACTTGGGGGAGTCAGTTCTCTCCTTCCACCATGTAGGTCCCAGGGATTGAACTCGGGCGGACAGCTTGATGGCAAGCACTTTTGCCTCTGGAGCTGTCTTACTAGCCTAATTTCTCCGTGTCCCTGCCTCCATCCATCAGAGTGCTGAACTAAGTGCTAGCATATTAGTTCCACTGTTTTATCAGATATTATCATGAATGAGGGTGTTTGACTTACATTGCTGTGACAAGCTAGCTACCTGAGAAAAATTAGCTTAAGGAAGGAAGGTTTATTTGGGCTCATGATTTTGAAGGTTTTGCTCCAGGATCAGCTTGCTTCATGGTTTAAAGCAAGGGAAAAGCAGAACATCAAATAAGGAAGGGGCTGTGATGGTGGCTGCTTCTCATTACCTTAAGAAACAAAGGCAAGAAGAGAAACCAGGGGCCAGAAACCATACCCTTCAGAGACATACCCCAGTGACCCTACTTCCTCCAGCTTGTCCCATTCGGCTGTGAACTCATCATTGTATGTCTCCCTTGATGAGGCTGGAACACTCCTGATACAATCACTTCTCAATACATCCTTAAGCTGGGGGCTGACACTAGGTTATGGCCTGGCTTCCTGTGTGCCTGTGATCATGCTCTGTGCTCTGCCATCTGTAAACTCGTGTCCTTTTTGTATTCCTCAGGTTGTCCACCAGAGAATCCTCATGCCTTAACAGTCAGCCCTTTTAAAGCATTCTCTCCTCAGCCACCAAAGTTTTTCAAACCTCTAATGCCCGTAAAAGAGGAGCATAAGAAAAGGATAGCCCTTGAAGCGAGACCGCTCCTAAGCCAAGAGGTAAATGCTTGACTTCTCTGTACTGTGCCAAACAGAATGGAACAGTGCTGTCTTCAGAAAACAGTGGTTTGCTGTCACTTGTTGGACGCTGCATGTGGATATGCATGGGTTTCGTCAGTCGTGGAGCCCATACTCAGAGGCCTTGTTTCTCAAGCATGGGGGCTGTGGTAGAAAGTTTTGATGATTACTGCCATGGTTTTACTTCGCTGAATCAATGGTGTTTTTGGTCTTTCATATCTTCCAAGAGAGAAAGAGATGCCCGATAGATATTTTTGAAGATATGACAGGCCTTTATGTATTCACTTGTTAATAAAACTAATGATGTGTCTTGCCATGGAATATGTGCATCCTGGTCAGATTTCACCAGTAGCTTAACTCTGGTCCGTAACATTGGCTGCCTCTTTTCTCACACGTAATGAAAGTGTAGTGTTGCTGTTTCTAACATGCACGTACTTAGTAGGTATTTTGGCTGTGTTCGTCTCTTGTGTGTGATGCATCTGTGTGTCTTAACCTTTGCAGAGCATGTCTCCATCTCAGGCACATAACCCTGGCTGCATTGTACCCCCAGGAAGCAATGGCAGCAGCATGCCAGTAGAACACAGTAGCAAACCTGAGGAGAAGATTGTAAGTTCTGGAATGTTTCCGTCATATTGCCTGGTGGTGGGTTGGAAATCCTTTTGCAATCTGCCTTGCAAATCTTTTCAAAGAAATTAAGACACGCATTGAGTCTTGACTTTACAAATGAAACGTGACCCTTGATAATGACGTTTTGCATGAATGTAACCTTGACCTGTGATTTTTTTCCTAAGTGTTCTTTCTATTTATTTAACTCATTTTTGCATCATCTTAAGTTTCCTTAGCTAAAGAGGGAAAGGCACCTTTGAGGGCTCTGGTCATTATAAAGGAAAGCAAAACAAAACCAGTTTAACTAATGCCAAAAATCTCTTTAATGTGTCTGTGCGTATTGCCCAGATTCTGAAGTTAATCTACCTAGAGGAATTGCATTTACTTGGCGTAAGTAATCCTGCTCTTAGCTGTGGATGTGTTTGAAAGCTTTCTTGTGTTGCTGCTACCAAGATGACTGTGTAGTTTGTAGCCGCTCTGCCACCATCATCATCAACCCGCATCCCCATTCCTCCAGCTCCAGTAGCTTTTGTTACCTACCTGGAAAAATACAGCCCAACCTGGGTGTTCTCAGCCTGACTTTGAGTGTGATTTATCTGTACACTCACCACGTAAAGTGGAGCTCTGCCTGCAGAGCTCCAAAGCTGCATATTCAAAGTACTGGAAAGGACAGCTCATGCCCAAGATATAAATTTCAAGGCCAGCCTGGACTGTAAAGCTAGGTCCTGACTCCCAGTAAATGAATAAAATAAAACATTTGAAATGTCATTTTTCAAGCACCATTATCCCTGGTACTTTTGAGTATAAGTTAGACCTCAATTTAAAACCAATTTAAGAAAACAGAAAACAAAAAACAAAAAAACTGTAGGTTTGTAAGCCTGGAAAAGAATCATGTGATTTTATTTCTCTGCTTTTACTCTCCTGTAGCTTGGGGGCGGGGATTGGGGGGGGACACCAGCCTGGGGCAGGAGGAGGCTGTTTGATGTTCACTGCTGCCTGTGAGCTGCTGTGCTGAGCTAGCTGTGTGAGGAGTCGCATTCCCAGCTAGAAAGGGTCAGATCCATTCATGGGTGCATCAGTGTGAGATTCCCTTAGCTACGCCACACAGGGCAGCCCCTAACTGCATCTTCAGCGGGTCCTGCAATCGGCCACTCATCTGCATGCTTAGCTGCTAACTGGGTCATAAAGCAATGGTTCCTCCTTCCTAACACCGGGAAGGAGGAAAAGGAATCCCCTCCCTTATTCACTCCTATTTCTAAGTTCTGTTTGTCTGCCCCAGGTTCTGATGGGAAAGAGCGTACACAGCAGAGATGTGCTCCTTTGCCTCCATGGGTCTTAAAGAGCCATCCCCACTTACCTCACTGTCCTCTGTCTGTCTGAGAGCTGCTGGGTGCACTAAAAGGGCCAGTGGCTTTGCCTTTACTGTCAAATTGTCTGGCTGTGTGTCTGACTGGGTCTGTCTATTGGCTGACATGACTCTCATCCCTGGTTGTCTAGACACAAAATTAAAACCATTTATTCTGGTACAGCATCCATCAATGACTACCAGGTGCTCCTTTTGGTGCAGTTCACACAGGTGTGCGGTTCTCACAGATGTGCGGTTCACACAGATGATATGCAGTTCTCACAGACGTGCAGTTCACAAATGTATGGTTCACACGGATGTGCAGTTCTCATGTGTATGGTTCACACGGGTGTGTGGTTGTCACAGATGTGTGGTTTACACAGATGATGTGCAGTTCACACAGATGTACAGTTCTCACAGATGTGCAGTTTACACAGATGTGCAGTTCACACAGCTTGCCCATGGTTACTTCCCTGGCTTTCCTTTAAAGAGCTTAAAACACAGCCCATCCCCACAGGCAGACTGGAGGATGGCACCAGAGTCTCTTGACCCAAGACACCTCAAGCAGCCCTTAGGTTCTGTGTGGTCAGATGTATCATATGCAGATGCTGAGCAGGGTTGAACTCTACCCTTTCTGTTGCTGGGATCTAACTTGAGAAATCTGCTCTGCTGTTCTTGGAGAAACAGCCGCTGCGCATACATTGTCTCTGGGCTGTTGCACTACTTTGTTCTGTTGGGCAGTTTCCAGGGTGTTTTGGTAAAGTCAGTGCCTTGCTTGCTTGAGCTTGGATTTTTATTTTCTTTGGGAAGCATTCATTTTATTTCCCCTCTTATAAATGAACATGAGCTGTTTCCTTCCTCTGTTGTTTTGTTTTGTTTCTTTCTGTTTTTTGTTATTTTGGTTTTTTTTTTTTTTTTTTTTTTTTTTTTTTTTTTTGAGACAGGGTCTCACGATGGAGCCCATGATGGCCTCCAACTCACAATCCTCCTATTTTGGCCTCTGGAGCATAGGATTGCAGTGTTATGCCACCACAGCTGGCTATGTCTGACTCTTGTAGCTTGGATGTCTAATCACTTAGAAAGATATGCGGGTGTGTACCTCAACCTGTATAAATAAGATAAAGTAACATCACTTTCAGCCTTTTATTTTTATCCCTTATTGTGGTACAGGGTATCAGGCCTAGGGCTTGTGTCAGGCAGTCTGCACTGAGTCATATCCCTACCCTTTATTTCTTTTATTATTTTGAAACAAGGTCTTGCTAAGTTTCCCAGGCTAGCTTTGGTCTCACCGTGTAGCCCAGGAAGGCCTCTGACTTGCAATCCTCCTGCCTCAGCTTGCCAAGTAGCTGTGGTAACAAGTGTGCACCACTAACTATGACCAGCTTTGAGCTTTTGTTTTGTTTTGTTTTAAGTCATGCGGCATAGAGAACAGCAATAAGAAAGTCAGCACCTTCCGCCTGTACCCACAACACCCTCTGTGGTCTTGCACAGACAACATACAGTTTTCTCCTCTCGTCTCACTGAAGAAACAGGTCTGGAACGATAGAGCAATTTGCCCCAGGTCACACAGTTACTGAGAGTAGAAGGCACAGACCCATGTCCTTCAGCATAATCGAGTGCAGCTCAGTGCTCTGCCCCCTAGTCTCTGGGACCATCGTAGAAGTGCTGGGAGCCCCTGGCAGGCAGCCCTGAACTCGGGCCATTTCTGGCAAACCTCCACAACCTGATTCTAGTGGCAGCAGAAACTGCATCCACTGTGTGACAGTCCCTGCTGAGAGTCACTGTTTCAATAATGGGCTTAGTCCCTTTTTGAAAAAATCAGACTGCTTGGTCTATAGAGAAATATCACCTTCATAAGTTAAATGGGAAAAACATCAGATCACAAGGGTAATAGTTACAGAGAAGCCTGAGAGTTTGACTCCGTGCTCCACATTTAGGTCAGTTTGTAACCTCTCTTGCTTTTAAATCATTTATAGGTGGGTGCTCAGTTCAGTGCCCCCTTTTTTTTCTTTTTTTTAATAAATAAATTTAAATGTTCTTTTTTAAAATTTATTTATTATGCATATAACATTCTGCTTCCATGTATATCTGCACACCAGAAGAGGGCACCAGATCTCATTACAGATGGTTGTGAGCCACCATGTGGTTGCTGGGAATTGAACTCAGGACCTCTGGAAGAGCAGTCGGAGCTCTTAACCTCTGAGCCATCTCTCCAGCCCCAGTTCAGTGTTCTTTAAGATTCGGTAGTAAATGACACTTTGGTATATTCCATGTAACTAAAGTCCCCCAACATGCATTGTAAGCCAGAAAACTCTCCCCCCCCCCCTTCTTGAAGGCATTTCTTCAGCAAACTTTCAATTTCTTTTCAAATGTTGGGAAACATTTAATACCTACTGAGGTTTTGTTTTCTGGCATAAGTTATCCTTAAGTCTTTAGCCTGTTTCTTAGTTAAACTTCATTCTCTAGAGTTCATGGATCCTTCCTATTTCCCAGGGTCACCCTCATCCTTTAAGAATAAATCTTAGTGAGTTTTATACATTTCTACCCATTTCTACTCATTAAACTAATGGTTGCTTATGTCATCCAGCAAACAGTATTTTAGAAAGATGAAAGTCCCTAGACACCAACCATCATCTGCAAAATTGCTTTTCCTTGCACAGCAAATCTTTTTTTTTAATTTTTTATTTTTTAGTGGCTAATTGTAATGGGTACTCTTGGGCTTGGAAATTACATTATTTTTGCTAACTTCAATTAAGCAAATAAAAAATAGTAAAACTTGAAATTCAATTTTCAGTCTAAATATGATGAATACAGAATCTGAAAATACAGGAAAGGGCTGATGACCGAGATAGTCTGTCCTCCATGCTCTATTCTTTTTTTTTTTTTTTTTTTGGTTTTTCGAAAAGGGGTTTTCCTTGTAGTTTTGGGGCTTTTCCTGGCACTAGCTCTGGAGACCAGGCTGGCCTCGAACTCACAGAGATCCGCCTGCCTCTGCCTCCCAAGTGCTGGGTTTAAAGGCATGCACCACCAACGCCCAGCCATGCTCTATTCTTTTATCAGTATCAGTGCACAGGGAAAGAATGCCCTGCCCATCCCATCCCATATACATTTGGGGGAGGGGAACTTTTTTTTTTCATTTTTTTCATAATGTTAGTGATCAAACTCAGTGCCTTGTATGTGCTGGTGAGTACTTTACCAAGAGAACTGCACTCCTCTCAGCCTGTATTAGTTACTTTTTTGTTGGTGTGATAAAGAGCCATGACCAATGCAACTTATAAAAGAAAAGATTAAGCCGGGTGGTGGTGACGCACGCCTTTGATTACAGCACTTGGGAAGCAGAGGCAGGCAGATCTCTGTGAGTTCGAGGCCAGCCTGGTCTACAGAGCCAGTCCCAGGACAGCCTCCAAAGCCACAGAGAAATCCTGTCTTGAAAAACAAAACAAAAAGAATAGTAACTTCTTTTTTTAAGCCAGAGTCTCATCTAGCCCAGGCTGATCTCAAAGTCAACATGTAGCCCAGGCTGGTCTCAGAGTCACCATGTAGCCCAGGCTGGTCTCAAAATCACTATGTAGCTGAGGATGACCTTTTACTTCTGATCTGACCTTTTTACTTCTGATCTTCCAACCTCCGAACTTCTGAGTGCTTGAACCTAAGCACATGCCCCCACCCCTGGCTTACAAAGTACTGGAAATCAAGCATATGCCAGGCAGGGACTCACTCTACCAACTGAGCTACACCCCAGCCCTGTTAAACTATTTTGGGGGGTTATTTAAATCTCATAAGATTATGAGATGCAAAAGAAAATATTACCATCAAATTCAACCGATAAAATTTATATTTATTTAGGAGTAGCCATCTGCCTCATTTTGCTGACCTCCCCTTTTTTCTTATCTAAATAATATACCCTATGCAGCCCTAATGAGGAAGGCCGGGGTTTGGGTCCTGGGTGTCTGGTTATTATAACTGTACAGACATTTTGACTGGGGTGGAGATAAAGCTATTTCTGAGCTTTCTAAGTTAGTAGAGCTCAGGACTCTTCTTGGAATAAGGACTCAGGGTTGTACCTTACTGAAGGAGGGATCCTGTCCCTTCTCACTCAGCACTGGTAGTCCCAGCCCTCAGAACAACAGAAGGCATGCAGGGGGAGCTTGCTGAATAGTTCTCAAAAGAAAGTCACAACTTAAAATCATTGTTTGCTGGGCATGGTGGCTCACACCTGTGACCTTGGCATCCAGAGGGCCAAGGCAAGAAGATTGCCACAGTTTTGAAGCCAGAGTGAGATACATAGTGAGATCTAGGCAGGTTTGGTTACAGAATAAGACCTGGTTTCAAAAGATTAATTTGTGTGTGTGTGTGTGTGTGTGTTTATATTTTTAAATAAAAGTGATATATGTTGTGTTGTTGGGTATATAGGAGATTAGTTTAAGATGATTAGATGGTATCAATTATTTTTCTACTCCATATAAAAAATATAAGGCTAGCAAGATAGATGGCTCAACGGGTGAGGTGCTTGCTGTCAAGCCTGACGACCTGAGTTTGATCCCTGTGACGGCTGTAGAAAGAGAAAACCAACTTTCACAAGGTGCCCTCTGACCTCCACTGTGTGCTGTGGCTTGCAAGTGCAAACACACACACTCTCTCTGTATAAATACATACAAACAAACAAACAAAATAATTTTTAAATGTCCTTAATAATATTTATAAGGGCTGGAGAGATGGCTCAGCAGTTAAGAACTTGTTCTTTAGTAGGACCCAAGTTCAATTGCCATATGGCAGCTCACAGCCATCTGTAACCCCAGTTCCAGGAGATTCAATGTCCTCTTCTGGCCTCCTCAGGCAGCAGGCACTCAAGTGGTACACACGCTTACTTGCAGGCATACAAAACATTCATATACATAAAATAAATAGATAAACAAAACTTAAATACTTATAAAAAGAATTTTTAAAGCAAAATAAATATATCATTTGTTTGGCAGAGACTGAGTTGATACCCACTTTTGTAAATTTACCAATCTTTGCCAGTTCCCAAGCTACTTAATGCTGGAGAATTCTCTTTGTATTCACTCTCTAACTTCCTGGTTTTCTAGCTTAACCGCTCTCTCTGCTTCTCACAGACCCAGGAAAGCAGTAATTAATGAGTTGTTAGCAGGTTTCTGTGTTACAGCATTTACTGAAATACTAAGTGCAGGATTCTGGGCTTTTCTCTGGCCTCATAAATGAGTTCAGAAACCCCCCCCCCCCCATGGTCTGGATCTCCTGCACTCTGCTTCTGGGGGTTGAAGATTGTCAGACCAAACAAAGAAGCCCATTCCCCTGCCTCAGGCAGGCCATGCCTCTGCTCACTGACTGAGAAGTTCCTTTTCTTAAGCCAGAGGTGGATGGCCTTCCAACAAATCGAGTAAACACAGAAGAAATAGATTGCATTCCTGCTAGGCAACAATGTGTCCATATTCACAAGTCTCTGAGAATAAGATACTTACTGCCATAGAGGACAAGATTTGACTAGACTTAAGAAAGAGAGCCTAGGTCTGATGACATACCCATAGTTCCCTGCTCTCAGGGGTAGAGGGAGGAGGATTGGGCAGTCAAGGCCAGTCTACATAAGCAACTCAAAGCCAGCATGAGCTACATGAAACAAACAGAAGGGAGGGAGGGAGGGAGGGAAGAAACAGGGGATGGGAATGCCTTTGCTAGCCAGTGAGGTATGTCTCAGTCAGATAGTTGCTATAGAGAGCTAATGACTGGCCTTGGCTTCCTTTCTGTAGGACTCCGAAGAGGAGGAAAATGAGCTGGAGGCTATTAACAGGAAGCTGATGCACACACAGCCTTATGTGCCCGTGGAGTTTGCTGACTTCAGTGTTTATAATGCCAGCCTGGAGAACAGGGAGTGGTCTTCTAAAGCCGGCCTGACAGACTCGAGTGTTTTGGAGAAAGCAGTGTCTCGGAGCCCTACCACCAGCAGCCTCACCAGTGGCTACTTCTCCCACAGTGCCTCCAACGCCACTCTGTCTGACATGGCAGTCCCTTCCAGCGACAGCTCGGACCAGCTAGCCATCTCAACAAAGGAGATTGAGTGTAGTGAGCACGCTGGACCTTCACTTGCACCTGACTTCAGACCAGCTTCAAATAAAGATCCTACAGAAGTAGAAAGAGGCTTGGGGAAGGATAAGACAATCACAGTGCCACCTGAGGAAAACAGTGCCTTACCCAAGGGGAGTGCATCACCCCAGAGCATCCCTGAGAAAAATTCCAGGATGCCATGCAGGACTGCTTCATGTTCAGAACTGGATGCTGGCCCCAGCAAAAATGGCCAACCTGCCAGAGATTTCTGCCCAGGAGAGGTGACTATAGAACATACTACAAACATATTGGAGGACCATTCCTTCACAGAGTTCATGGGTGTGTCTGATGGCAAAGACTTCGATGGTTTGGCAGGTTGTTCTGTTGGAGAGCCCTCTGATAGGAGGGATCTACCAAATGAAACAGACCATGAAAGTGTCCCAGATGGACCCCCAGATGCTGACCAGCTGCATTCCAAGATAGAGAACGAACAGGTAATGGTTCCCAGAGGTGGCCCTTTGGGTTCTACATTCTCAGTGAGTGCAGCTTACAGGACATCAGCCCACCAAAGCTTCTCACTACAGTGAGATTTGCAGGAGAGCTCCATCTGACCTCTGTGGTTCGGAAGATGGGTCCAACTGCAGAGCAAGCTCCCAGCTTATCCTGCTTGCCCGATGTGTGACAACAGCTCTGATTTGGGGATCAAAGCAGATCTACAGTTGTTGGTTTTGTTGACACTGTTGTTTTTTAATTGGAAAATGAGTTGGTTGACAGGTGGGCCATGACAGACTCAACAGTTAATCTTCACATACACTCCCTTGGGTGCTTGTTTACTGGTTAACTAAAGGCAGTTTGACAGCACCATTTCATCAGCTCTGTGATCTTTGGTTATGGTAGTCTCCATTAGTATCATACCACAAGGACCTGAGTTCATGTCTGTAGCACCCATGTAAAAACTGAGCATAGTGGTTTGCCTCTGTAGCTCCAGTTCTTGGCATGGAGGTGGAGCAGAGACAGGTGACTGGGGCTTGGTGGCTGGCCAAAAATATCAAGCTTCTAGTTTGCTGAGGTCCTGTCCCAAAAATTAAGGTGCTAGCTGCATGTGATGTCAAGTGCTATTCATCTCAGCAGGCTGGTGACAAGTAGAACTCTGTAAGTTCTAAGGCCAACCTGATCTATATATGGAGTTCAAGGACAGCCAGAGCTACATAATAAGACCCTGTCTCAAAACAAGCAAAAAGAAATATAAGGTAGACCTCCACCATCCATGTTGCATTCACTGGTATGTGCTCTCTCTCTCTCTCTCTCTCTCTCTCTCTCATACACACACACACAGAGGGGTGGGGGGCTTACCAGGCTTTAACCTGGAAGGAATGACAGATAGACTCAGTGAGTTGGTTTTAAGTATACAAGTTTTATTTCACACTTATATCAAAATAACACACACAAGCATAAGCAAACAATCCTAAGAACCACAGCCACTAGGCTCATAGCAGGGGGTGGTACCTCTCCTGCAGCAGCAGTAGGTTCAGGCTCCGGACTTGTGTTCCTCTGAATTCATGCAGTCTAATCTTCTGAGGGCCTGAAGTTGTGATATCAGGTTTCAGACTGGGTGGCTCTCAGCTTAATGGACTGGTTGTTTCAGGTTAGCGGAGGAGAGCTCTAGGACATAGCGGCATGGTACACTCTAAAGTTCCCAGTTCTGAGCTGGTCCTTTAAATAACTTGCTAAATCTTGCTAATTACACTTTACCACACATCACACATTCTCACTCTTATCTGTAATAGTCGGGTAGTGGGCCTGTGTTCCCTTTCCTTTAATCTACCTTCAGCCAGGTCTTTGCCTGCCTGGTTACAGGTTCCTTACAGAGAGAGAGAGAGAGAGAGAGAGAGAGAGAGAGAGAATGAGAATGAATGGTGGTAGGCTGGACTAGTATAGCTCAGGGGTAGAGTATTTACCTAGCATATTCACCAAAGCACAGCTTTTGAGTTGTACCCCCAGTACCACAAAACATTATCAGTGGCTATGAGAAACCCAAATTTTCAGAGATGTTACAATATGAGGGAAAACCCCACAAATTTTCAGAGTGGAACTGACCTTTTAAATATTGGTGCCCTTAGGTTCAGCACAGCTGAACTTGGGGCTTTGGATGGTTTACAGAATTGTTTAATTTTCATACTGGAGCAAAATGGGTTTCATTAAGGAAAAGTGGATTACATGATTTTCACCTTCTAAGTGTTCTGTTTTTAAGTGTTGCCATTTCTTCCACTCACATTTCCCTTTTAATCCCACGCCTGTGTGAGCAACCAGAACATCACAGTTCAGCAAAACAGAGTTTACCAGACAGGCCCTAGGCACCAAAGCCTGGTGAAGGAAGATAGGACAGCCACACCCATGGTGCTGCTCCCAGTTCTGCTGAGACACTGTGTCTGTCAGTGCTTGTCTCCATGCCTTCTAGACCAGTGCTCAGACAGTGCAGTCAGAGATTCTGTGGCCTGGCTACTACTGTCCTGGAACTCTGAAATTCAGAGACTTCCTGCCTCTGCCTCCAGAGTGCTCGATAACAATCTAGAAACCCTATGCCTGGGTAAGGGAGGTCTGTTAAAGTCAGAAAAGGGCTTCCCCTGTGTAAGGATGCTAGTGGGGAACACAGACTAAGAAACTCATTGTTCATCTTTTTGTTATTGCAAGCAAATGTGAATTTGCACCAAGTCCTGCATGTCCTTCACACTGATCTTGAAGCCAATTTGATTTTTTTCTTCTTTGTTTCATTTGTTGTTGTTGTTGTGTTGTTTTGTTTTTTGTTTTGTTCCATTTTTGAGACAGGGTCTCTAGCCCAGGCGGGTCTTAAACTTCCTGGATTTGAGGGTGACCTCACATTTCTGATCCCCCTGCCCACTGCTGGGATTACAGGCATGCACTACCACCTACTGTTTATACTAGCTAGAAGCCAAAGCCAAGGCTTCGTGCATGCTAGGCGATCACTCGCCGTGATACATCACCAGCCCTGTTTGCTGCAAACTGCACGAGGCTTTATTGTAATTTAACGAGCTAACCCCATGTTAGCTCGGGTCTTTCTCCCACCCGCCATGGCGGATGACTCACAAAAGATAGCTCCTAGGGCCTCCCGAGAGATCTTATAGGACAGCGTAAGGGGAGTGTCTAGGGGTACGCACAGGCTCACGATTGGTGTGCCTCCAGGCTTGGAGGGCTTGCCCTGTGTTGATTGGCCAATTGGTTGTTACGGCCCATAGGCCCTCCCAGGGTGGTTGCTATGCTTTGCGTCATTGCTGTGCGCTTGTCTGTAAAGTACACCCAGGGTCGTAAAGCATAGCGCCACCAGCTAACTTCTGATTGGTTCCTTGTCACGAGGCAGACATCTGACTTTCTAGTGACTAAGACAAGGTCATAGAAGCACGTGTTTGGCCGTTATGGCTGCCGAAAGGGAAGGTGGTCCCTTCACTCACACCTTTAATCCCAGCACTAAAGAGAATATAAGGAGCTCAGTGCAGTCTGAGATTTGGTGAGGAGCCATTGCTAGAGATGCAATCTGAGGTTTGGTGGATCGCCCCTTTGGTCTGAGCATTAGTAGAGGTGAGAGCTCTCTGGTGGCTGGTTGCTTTGCTTCTCTGATCTTCAGTGGCTTTATTAGATCATAAACCATGTATCACCACAGGCTTCCTCATGTACAAGCACATGAAGTACACCTGTGTACACCATAAATACACAACACAACAGCAGCTGTTTAAAGGGTTGAGCATGTAGCTCAGTATAGTGTTTGCCTAGCATGCATGAGGGCCTAGGTTCAACTCCAAGTACTTACAGGATATAAAAGGAAACCAAAAGCATAGCTGGAGGTTTCTTTCCAGCATGGTCCCACAGCCGCTTTGTCCAAAAATAACCACACACACCCAGATGCTATATTAATTATAAAACTGTTGGCCGGTTCCTGGGGCTTCTTATTGGCTAGCTCTGTCTTAATTATTAACCCATTTATATTAATTTATGTATTTTCATGTGGTCTTGGCTTACCAGAGAATGCCCCAGAACTGTTGCTCCTTTGGTGGCTACGTGGTGTCTCTCCTCAGCCTCCCTCTCCTTCCTTTTCCCAACTTTCTCTGGGTCTGGTTGCTCCATCTATGCTCCCTGCCTGGCTATTGGCCAAACAATGTTTTATTCATCAACTAATAAGAGAAACATAAATACAGAAGGACATCCCCCATTACACAAGTCCATTTGGGAACCTCTTTTCTCTCATTTTTTTTGTTTTAATCCTGAAATTATTTAGAACATGGATCGCTCCCCACAGATGCTTCGCCCCATTCCCTGAGATTCCGTAATGAATTCAGTCTGGTCTGACCTCAGGAAGCCCCTTGGAGTATGGGCCCTGTATGGGGGAGGGGAAATGGGAACAAGGAGTTTGGACTCATCAGCCTCTGTATTCCAGGAAGCCACGACCACTTGGTAAGAGACAACCATGCATCTGCAGGCACAGCTTGGCAGCTTCACCGACCCTACCCTGGGACAGTACCTGCCCTATCCTCAGACAGCTGTGACCCACCTCGACCTCAGACCAGCATGGGGGAGCCCTGCACTTCCCCTCCCCAGTGGGAGAAGCAGCACTTTGTCCCACAGCAGAATCACAGCCTCTGCTCTTTCCAGAAAGGAAGAGAACCAAAATCTTGGCTTACCTGAGTGGCAGTATTTTCGTTTGCACTTCCTACATGTCCCCACCGTGTAAAGACCTCCACAGACTCAAACTTTATTCTTGTACATTTTTAACCAGTTCTTACTGCAGACTCTGGAGTCAATGCTCTGATTTGTTTTTTTTTTTTATAAATAATATATATTATGTATGTGAATTGTGTATCTACAGTATGTCTGTTTGGAGACATATCTGCACATTGAAATGCAGATAAGTGATTTGTCGAAAATCACAAGGTACTGGACTTTGTTACAAAGCGACCTGATGACTGCTTTGACACAAGCAGATGAAAACAAAAATATTTTATTATCTAAGAATGAGGTTCTAAACTCCTCTTTGTAGAAAAGGCTGCAGGCGCTGTTCTTTATAACCAAAGCACTATGAGACTGAACGTCTTTGCTGTCCACTCTTGTTTCGTGTGAGTATATAATCTCACTGCCATCTGGTGCCATACTATCCTTGGCTACCCAGCCACGTGCTGCCCTCTTCCCGGCCCATCTCCTAAGCACACTGAGAAACAGCTATAACCTTTGGTCTTCCACCTAGCCCGATACCTGCTGACTTGATATTGACCGTTGACAATGGCTGGGGCTCCTACTCTAGCCTAGCATTTCCCATACCCTGTTCAACCCATCCAAGCAGGTGGAATGCACAGGGCAGTATTACAACAAGCAGACACAATTCTGTACCGAGAGTGGGCAAGAGGTTCTGGGTGAGGAGTCTTGATTTGGGGCTTCTCTATCAATTTCTTTCAGTTTGGTAGATTCCATTGTGGTGTGGTTTTGCCATTGTGCTTGATTCTGGAAAATGATGAAGAGATGGACTGAGCTATTATGTTCATAGGTTTGCACGTCACCTTGTTTAAGGGGGATTGAATACAGACCACTCTGTTGTCACATTTTTCCATTTCAAACTCCCCTGCAAGCGGAGACATTATAGGATTGTGTGTGGAAATTTTTACAGAAATATTTTATGGACTTATTCTGTAGATGCCTGTGCAGTGGACCTCTGTGTCCAGCTACATGTGTGCTGTGAGAGAAAGTGAGAGAGCATGTGTGCAGCCTGCTGTACTTTTTTTAAGTTCTTAGCATTGGTGAGGGAGATACGGGAGATTTTATTGAAAAGCTGCTGTCTGTGTGTATAGTGAGCTGATGGTAGTATTTTACTATCATCTGTTTAAAACAAAAAGGAAAACTGTAATTTATATTCCCTTTCAACTTTGTTGTATTTAATTGGTACAGATTGTGTGTGTTTTAGAATACAAACTGTCTAATTCAGATTTTAAAGCATTGATTGTCTTTTGTTTGTTGTTTGTTTTGTTTTTCGAGACAAGGTTTCTCTGTATTGCTTTGGAGCCTGTCCTGGAACTCACTCTGTAGACCAGGCTGGTCTCGAACTCACAGAGATCCAGCTGCCTCCGCCTCCGAGTGCCACCACCACCACCACCCAGCGATTGTCTGTTCTTAATAACATTACCATGGCGGGAGGGGGTCAGAGTTGAGTGAATCAAGTGTTGCCTGTGTAAGCATAAGGACCTAAGTTCAGAACCCACATAAAAAATAAAAAAGCTGGGCCTGGTGGTGTATGCATGAAATCTCAGGTGGAGATAGGTGGCTCCCTGGGGCTCACTGGCCAGCCAGTGAATCCCAGACCAGTGAGAGATTCTGTCCCCAAAAGCAAGGTGGGGAATGACACCAAGGTTGTTCTCTAGGCTACATATCCATACATGCCATTAGGTTCAGGTCCAATGTATTGTATTTGTGTGCATGTACACCGCTATGGTGTCAGTAGGCCCACTAGCATTTATTGAAGACTTAGTGTCAACTGGGCACTATTCTAGGCACATTTGATCTCATCTGACAGCACAGATGCTGCGGGCACCAGAGGTATTAAGTGTTGGGTAAATGGAAAGCAAAAGGCAGAGAAGTTGGCAATGGGATTGTGGCAAAGCTGGGTTTCAGCCCACATTTCTGCCAGCCTCTTCCCTTTGTATTCTGCCTTATAGCATGACTGGCAGGGCTCCACTTGAAGACGACAGTTACAGGAGGCAGCAGTGTGTGGTGTAATACGACAAGCTGCCGACTGACCAGCAACCCAGGGGGCTTCTGGAGCAGGTAGGACATGAATTGTCTCCAAACAAATCTTTACAACAAATTGTAGGACCTGCCACCTGTGGACCAGTACTAAAGATGCCCTTGCTGAGTCTTTGTAGGAAAGCAGTTTTTTTGAAGTTTTCAGGAAACAGAGCCAACATTCTCTACCAACAAGTGCCTTATATGGACTTCCAGGAGAAAATAAACCAAGGGAACAGAAAACTCATTTAAATCTTATACAGTAAGCTGAGGGAGGAAAAGCAGCTATGTGACCTGTTAGTAAACAGTGGTAACTCAATTAAGGGGCTTGAGGAGATGACTCAATCAGTGAAGTGCTTAGTGTTGAAGCATGAAGACCCAAGTTCAGATTCCCAGTGTCCCCAGAAAAAAAAAAAAAAAAAAAAAAAAAGTTGGGCACAGCAGCACTGACTTGTGAGGAAAATAATTGTTTATAAAAATACCTTTACGAGGGCTGGAGCGATGGCTCAGAGGTTAAGAGCACTGACTGCTCTTCCAAAGGTCCTGAGTTCAATTCCCAGCAACCACATGGTGGCTCACAACCATCTGTAATGAGACCTGGTGCCCCTCTTCTGTCATATAGGGATACGTGCAGACAGAACACTGTGTACATAATAAATAAATCTTAAAAGAAAATAGCTTTAAGAGGGGGCTGGAGAGGTGGTTCAGTGGTTAAGAGCACTGATTATTCTTTCAGAGGTCCTGAGTTCAATTCCCAGAAACCACATGGTGGCCCACAACCATCTCTAGTGGGATTGAAGGAACCAGCTTCCCTTTTGGCAGCCATACGGCCGAACACGTGTTTCTATGACCTTGCCCTAGACACTAGAAAGTCAGATTCCTGTCTCGTGACAGGGAACCAATCAGAAGTTAGCTGGTGATGCTATGCTTTACGACCCTGGGTGTGCTTTACGGACAAGCACACAGCAATGACATAGAGAGTATAGCAACCACCCTGGGAGGGTCTATGGGCCATAACAACCAGTTGACCAATCAACACAGGGCAAGTCCTCCAAGCCTGGAGACACACCAATCGTGAGCCTGTGCGTACCCCTAGACACTCCCCTTATGCTGCCCTATAAGATCTTTTGGGAGCCCCTAGGAGCCGTTTTTTGCTAGCCATCCGCCATGATGGGTGGATCAAAGACCCGAGCTAACATGGGGTTAGCTCGTTAAATTACAATAAAGCCTCGTGCAGTTTGCAGCAAGCTCTCGAATCTGCCTGGTGATTGGGGTGACCTCGAACGTGGCCTGGGACCCCGGATACTTGAGTTTTCGGGGGTCTAACAGGATCTAATGCCCTCTTCTGACATAAAGGTCTATATGCAGATAGAGCACTCATATTAAATAAATCTTTTTTAAAAAATTAAAAGTACCGTAAGATTTATTAATGAGACAAACATTATCTTCTAAACTATACGCCCCAAGCAATAATTATTTTAAAAGATACTCTTCTAGCCTTAGAACACTGGGGAGACAATTAGTTACAACTATTTATGTGATTAAACTTTATTTAAAAAGTCAAGCTTTCTGGTTGTGTAATGAAAGGCTCTTGGCTTACATAATTTATGTATATGGATGTTTTGCCTGCTTGTATGTTAATGTACCACATGCCTGCAGGGCCCCAGGAGGTGAGAAGAGGATGCAGGATGCCCTGGTGTTGGAGTTACAAATAGCTGTCAGCAGCCCTGTGGGTGATGGGACTGTGATTCCTCTGGAATAACGCCAGTGCTTCTAACCATCGAGGCATCTTTCTAGCCCCATTAAAGGTTCTTGAAAGATGTAATTGAACAAGAGTCCTCGCTGCCTTTTAGAGTAAATGCCAACAAGAGTCAGATTCTGGGACACAGTTGGATAGAAAGCTTTTTTATTTATTCAGCCCAAAGTTCCTATAGTATCAGCGACACTCATCCTACTGGAATATACAGCTCATCTCGAAGATTAAGAACCAAAGGAAAACAGGCATGGTGACACTTGCATACATTGAGAAGCAGAAGCAAGAGGACCATAGCAAGTTTAGAGTCAGCCAGGGCTACATAGGAAGTCCAAATCTCAAATAAATAAATAAATAAATAAATAAAGCAAAACCAAACAATGGTAACAGACAACAATTCATGTAAGGTTTTCTCCTAGCCTAAAGAAAGACTACCGGTGCCAATAGGTTCCAATAGCAACAGCTTCTTCAGCACGGTCCTGAAGCTCCCTTTCCCCTTTGCCCATGGGGAGATGAATCCAGAAGATGCTGGGGGTGGGGGGACAGGAAGCAAGACCTGCCCTTTTATAGAGTCTAACTATGACTGAAAATGAAACCCCAAAGTCTAAATTTAACCTGCTTGTCATTTGTCGTTAATCCTCTGAGGAGAAGGAAAAAGAGTACAGGTTTGAAAACCAGTCATCATTGTTTCCAGGATAAGATGTGTACAGGCATAATCTAACTTCTTTGCACACATGTATGCATTTGCACACACTCACATGTATGCACTAATGCACAATTGCCTACCTTGTGTTCTAAGACACTCACCCACTACTGTGCACTCTTGGTAAAACAATTCTTTCCTGCCTGGGGGCTCACTGAGTGCCTGAATCTTTGCAAACTGCCCTCATATAGAAGACATAGGCTATGCTTCAGTCACTGTTATCTGAGCCCATCCGTAGGCAATAGCTGCCATCTTGGAGGTTTCCTCGTGCTGAGAAAGGAATTCTGGAATCCTTCATGGGCCTTGTTCATGAAGATGCTGGGAGACTGAGAGGACAATGGACCTTGCACATACACGCACACGCACACACGCACACACGCACACACGCACACACACATATACACATATGACAGCTTTCATCTTAAAGGGAATAAGAGATGGTTAATTCTGGAGCCATTCTGAAGTTACCCCAAATTCCATGTTCCAGCATGGAAGTCATTTTGTGAAGTTTTACAGAACAGAGAAAGTCATAAACCAAGGTAAGTCTAAAATACTTTGGTGGGTACATCAGAGAGACAGGTACAGCGACATGGGGGAAGATTTTCTATAGGCCCAAGATGCTATCTGATGACATTCTTAGATTTGGGCTGGTGGAAGCTCGTGGTCTGTTAATAGATGTCTAAAAGGTTTTATCTTTTAGTCACAGGAAGTTAGTTCAGGCTCAGAGGTGGTCAAGGAATGGCTGTTCCAGACGGCTCGAACTAGCCCAAGATAAGGTAACTAGCCTTTGGACCCTAAGCAGTCTCTGTAGACACAGCTTCATTTTAGGAATTCTCATTCATAGTTGGAAAAAGTAATGTTTAAAAAGGTCAGTTTCTAAAGAGTTTCTGAGAGACTACATATGATTAAGTTGTGATTAAAATGTTGCTTTGGGTTTATCATAATATTAACCAGCTGAGCTCACAGTACCCCTAATGCCTTGATAGATTTAGATTTTTGTTTACTTGTTTTTTTGAGACACGGCTGTCCTGGAACTCACAGATCCTCCTACATCTGTCTCTCCTGGGATCAAAGGTATGCACCACCATGCCCAGCAAGCTATTCAGACTTTAACACCTGGAAATGGTGTCTATGACAACCGAAGCAGTTATTTGGGGCTTTATCTTCTACACTGCTGCCCAAGTCAAGTCATGGAGATGCTGTTTTTAGTTTTTATTTTTATTTTTTTGAGACAGGGTTTTCTTTGTAGACCAGGCTGGCCTCGAACTCACAGAGTTCTGCCTCTGCCTCCCAAGTGCTGAATTAAAGATGTGCACCACCACTGGCCGGCTTTGTGTGTGTGTATGTGTGTGTGAGCGCGCACTCATGCTACATGTATGCTAGAGCATATGTGTGGAAGTCTGAGGATACCTGTGGGAGTCATTTCTCTCCTTCTACCATGTGGACTCTGGGCTCAGACTCAGGTCCTCAGTTTGGCGACAAACACCTTTACCCACTGAACCAGTTTACTTGAGATTTTCTGAAATTTCTCTATATGCCAGGCATGATGGCCCCAGCTTATAATGCTCCCATTTGAGAGACTGAGGTAAAAGAGTGTTGTGACGTGTGAGTTAGCTTGGGGTACATAGGAGTGTCAATCAAGCTAGAGCTACATGGTAAGACCTTGTCTCAAGAAAAGAGAAAGACAGAAAAGCTGGGTAGGGTGGCCCACAACTTTCATCCCAGAACTTGGAAGACAGAGGCAGGAGAATATGAGTT